CGATCGCAGAGCCGACTGTTGCATACATTTCGGACAGCGGAACTGTCAAAATTACATGCGCGTTGTGCTCGCGGGAAAATCGCAGCAAACAATATGGCGGACGTCGAGGAGGAAATTTTGCTGCAAGCAAATTTATTTCTTCTTTTCGTCAACCTATTTTGAAATTCCCTTGGCACTGCATCTCACCCCGATCCAGAAGGTAGCGTTTTCAATCGCTTCAGATTAAGTGAACAAGCAAGCAAACAGTGCATTCGGCATTCTGCAAATTACCCTTGTCGCACGATTCACGGAACTCGTTTTAAGTGATCGTACTTTGTGACCGAATTATAATTTTGAGGGTGGAGGGAGGAACCCTAAGCAAGGACACGAAGCAGCAATTCAAGATTCAAACCCAGGACACATTGGGTCTTCTGCGCTACCGCTGCTCCTCGAGTTTTCCATCCAATCCAGGGCTCAAAATAACGGCCGGTCAACGGTCAGTGTCCGGCCAGAATGGTCACTTGACCGGCCAAAAACTTCACTCGCCGGTTATGTTGAGACGGTCACGTTGTTCATTCTTGAGTGAACAATCAAATCCTCGACTGTGAATCTTAGATTTTTAATCTCTTTTTTACAATGACCTCTCACACGAAAACATATACCAACGGGTATCTGTTCGAACGGCTAAAAACCGTTCGCTTGCTGTTAGTCATGCGTTCAAGATCGATAGGAATGCCATTCGAACGGCTGGGTTTGTCCGTTCAGAAAAATATTCAAGCATTCGGACAACTGCTGTTATCCGTTCGAAAAAAAATTTCATCTGTTAGGACGGCAGAGGTTTCAATTCAGAATTCAAAACTATTCAGTCTTTCAAACAGCAGAGTTTTCCGTACGCTAAAGGGAATCCAATCAGATTCAGCTTTTCGAGACGCTTTAGATTTCCTCAACCGGCTGTCCCACATTTTTGTCACAGAACACCTCTCTTCGTTGGCGTACATTTCAAAGGCATTGCCCTACAGATGTCAAGATAATTTTGTCGTTTTTTCACTTTCACTGCACAAAAGTAGACGAACAAGTTAAAACAAAACTTTTCGCTCGATTTTCAAGTTGTTTCCAACTTAAACACTATGGGACTCCGGGGCATCAAAACACACATTTTGCAGTCTGCTTCGTTTCCATCAAGCCGTAAATGTAACATTGACCACGAACCCAGTATCTAATTTAGAACCAACTGATAAAAGTTACTGTTACAAAACGGACGAAAATAATTATGTACCAACGAAAAAAAGCCGAAGGCCTTATCAGTATCTGTATCAGTAAAGTTATTTGTTCATGAATGAAATTTGAGACACTCTCAACTTGTTGCTTAGCACGTGACCAAATCCATCAGAGGTAAAATCTACCGAATGATGGTCATCAGTTCTTCGTGAGCGAAAACTCTCTCTAAAATATGACTTAAACAGAGTTTAGATTTTTATTGCTTACACTTTAGAACTTAATTCTAGTCACATCACTGAGAAACTTCCCAGCACTTGTGTAACTGTAGCCGTGTTCGTTGCAACGCGATGATTTGTTGTGCTTTTGCACACATGGTTTGCACGGGTGAGAATCGAGGAAACAAAAACTTCTTCTTCGGCTATATTTCTTTCTCAAGTTATTTCTGAAGCCCAAAATTAGGATCAGCTGATGCATGTTTGGTTTCATTGACGTTTTGGTGGCAGAAACTACTTTGTAGAAAATCAAAACAACAGCTCATGGAATTCAATGTACCGATCGAAAAATTTCATCAAACATGCATCCGTTCAATACGTTTTCTTTGGCAGGTGGCATGAATTCCACTGACAGCGTGCCACTTTATTGAGCTACCTGGCCATCCCAAGGCTATCTTTGGTTAGGTTTTAAGCTTTTCTTTGTATTAAGCCAATTTTAAACGGTGTAGCAACGACTGGAAAAACAAATTATATTTGTGGGTTTAATCAGACAAACATTACTTGAATTTTTTTTTTAAATATCTTGACCGGTCAGAAACGAGACGTGACCGAGCCAAAATTACTTTGGCCGGTCAACATGACCGGCTACGGTCCGAAAATTATTTTTGAGCCCTGCAATCAATAATAAATAAATAGAATAGATAGAAACTTTATTAACGTGTCAATGCCTTGTAGCCTTGGGAAATCCCATATTAATTTGGGGACACAAAATACATTGTGTAAATATAGGGAGAAACGAAAACATAACAATATTCAAAGATTATTTTCGCTATTTTCGAACATACGTTTGACAAATTGGCCTATTTATTGCAAAGTACCTCTATTACCGAAAATCACATTACAATTTACAAGGAAGTAAGTTTTCCGTCTAAAGGAGTTCAAAAACAAGAAATGTGAACAGCGCTAGGGTTAGACGGATTGTGCTCGTAAAATCAAGCATTACGTCTTTGGACGTCACGCTTGAAACGGAGCATCAGTTATGCACAAAACTGTATAATTTGGCAATAGGAAAACTAACTACTCTTGTTTGCTGCGCTGCGCGAGTAAACAAGTGCACTTTAAAACATATCGCTCTTTGGATAACATGTTTCGGACAGAAGCATCAAGGAGACGATGATTGATAGCCAGGAGACGTGATTGATAGGCAGATCTCTTATTGCCAATCTATTGTTATATCAGTATCAGCGTATTGGTAAAACACTACAAGTTGACATTTCACCCATGGTGCATTGTTTTATCCTGGATTGTTATCTGTGACATTGTTTTTGGCTTTTGTATAGCTGCTGTACTGGACGTGACCTACTGAACACAACACTAACTAGAGTTGTTCTGCTTCTATAAAAATACCCCACACAGGTGCAAATGATGATCTAGTAGATAAGTTCATAAAATTCCCCATGCCTCTTCAAACGCGCCGCAGATTTTGGCACAGGTTAGAGCTCCTGATAAGGGGTATTCACTGATCGCCACAGTTTCTTCCACGTACGGTACATCAATCTGAACAAGAAAAACAACTCTGGATTAGTTTGCATAAGAAAATTCAAAACTTGCTTATTATAAACTAAGGAAACAAGTTTGTGAATCTGAGTATTACAAAGCACTTTTAAAAAACGATATTTTATCTCTTAGCAAGACGCTGTGAACAGCGTCCATGATCCATGGGAGAATTGGTCCATCTGAAAATCACGGGAAACACAACCATTCTGTTGCATGCAGAAAAATCCTCTCTGTCAGTTGTGCAATAACATTCTTGGAACACTTCAAATGTACTGAATTTTACACTGAGGTTTGCTAAATAACTCTGGTTTAAATGTGCATGCCCGGCCTGGCAATAATATAGCACATCAAAGTCTTTATATCCGCTTTTGAATTTCAATCAGAGGAACACTGTCTTCATTATAGATCTGCTGGAAACTGAACAAAGCCACTGTCATATGTTTTTTCCCAGATAGTACGTTGTAAGTAAGCAACAAAGGTAAATAAATGTTACATAGGAAGCTTACCGAGCCGTGGGCCATGGCTCCAACAACAAAAACAATAGGCTCATCTTTTGGAATAACATCCTTTAACTTAGTTAGTTTTTCAGAATGGAAAGATGTTCCTAGAAAAAAAGTGTTTAAATTCCATTAAAAACATTGATACATGAAACGTTATAACTAAAATATCAAAAAATGATCCAGGCTAGGTGTGTCCAGAAGCCAAGTGGTCAACTCTCTGACTGATTGGCAGAATTTGTTTTTAAAGTGCATGTAGCTTGTGTCATTGACTAACATCTATTACATATCTCTGCCAAGCATAACATATTCATGTATTATAACAATATCATCATGGCTTTGCAAACATGAATAAACTTACACAAAACTTGGTATCTTCTATTATAATGCGCTGTGTGAGACAAGGGAACCAGCTAGTCTGCTAAAGATCTTAACTGGACTATGACGCTCACTTTATTCTAGGACTGTATACAGGCGTGTGCATGTGTCCAGTGTCACATGCAAGATGCACAGACAGCTGAACACAGACAAGGAATAATGTGCACTTCATCCCAACAATCCAATCAAATATGGTGGACTAAGTTGACTTAAGCCCTTGTTTCTTGAGTGAAATGTAGTTTGATTTAGATGAAAATAACCAAGTGAGTAAGGCTCATTTTCATATGAAAGGTTTTGTACCAGGACTCATTTAATGTCATCACTTAACTATATGTACATGTATAATCACAAGAACTCAGAGAGGGAATTCCTTTGGTAGTTGAAAAAAACACGTCCAGTTGACTTAACATGCAACTCAAATTCATACCTAGAGAGAAGACCAGTTGATTGGCATCAACTCTTTTAAGTTTAAACTATGAAACAAATCAATCCATTACACGAAAAAAAAAAANAGGTCAGAATCATGGGACAGGTGACAAGCCTTTAAGTGTTTCTACGGTTCTCTCAAGCTTTCACAAGTGTTTCTATAACTCAGTAGAAACACCAAGAAAATGTTATTTGTTACTCTTAGAAAAAAAAAAAAAAAAAAACAGCGAAGTTTCATTTAGAAAGTTCCATGTACTAAATACAGTAATATTACTCAAACAGCAGAAACAGTGACCTACCAATTTTCTTACAGCCCGTTGGTAAATGATCAGTCACTGGATTCTTTATCACCTGATAATAAGACAACACTCTGCTGTTACGAACAGCTACAAGTTGTCTTTCAATTGATACAGGTTTAGTAGTATTGTAATGTATAGAATGTGACTTTGTCTTACAGCACAAAACTTCTGTCACTAACACAACTCAACATGCTGCCTTTCAATTGATACATCCCTAGTATTAAAATGTATGAAATAAATTATGTGACTGAATAACCCCTAATAATAACAGTGCATGTCTGTTATTAACAGTTACATGTGACCTTCTACATGATACATGCAGAGTACTTCAATGTACACGTCTCTTTTGAGAAAAATTGTCCTACAAAAGCACATAACCATATGTGCCAATGTCAAAGGTATTGTGGTTAATGGTGGCTCATGGTTGCTTGATTGAAGCTTAGGGTGTTGCAGCATGATAAGAGGAAACTATGCAAACACTCCCTTTCTTTCTTGTTAGCACATGTGTTGTATAAATTAAAATGTATTTGTGACTTCTTATATTCTCAATTTTATTTCTTCACTTTCTCCTTCATTTCCATTTCAATCACTCAAGACATTACTTGGTCACATTTCCAAACATCTTGAAGTTCATCAAAAATACTTCACTACATTTCAACTCTCTTGTTGGTGTTTGGAAATGTGGTCAAGCACAGTCTTTCATGTTTGATATCTTACTAATGTGCTGTGTGAGACAAGGGAACCAGCTAGTCTGCTAAAGATCTTAGCTGGACTATGGCGCTCGCTTTATTCTAGGATTGTATATTATGGGTGTGTGCATGTGTCCAGTGTCACATGCAAGACGCACAGACAGCTGAACACAGACAAGGACTAAACACCTTGTGCACTTTGTCCCGACAATCCAGTTAACACACTTTGTTCAATAGAGCAAAATTAATACAAAAGCCTTCGCTCTTCAAATAAAAAAGTTTTCTAGATTAGTAAATACCTTGAGTAACTTTTGAGGACCATCAGAAGCATGAATACTAAGCTTGTGTAGCAACTGAACTTAAATGAAAAGAAATAGAGAAGTTAATAAAGAAGCCCATTCCCACTAACTAACGCGAGTTGACATATCCCTCTAGGAAGGTGTGACGAGTTTATAAATCTTTAGAAGAGAAAACCTGCACTTGTTTTCGAGAGAATCGCTTTTCGTTAAATAAGTTAATAGGATATGTAGAATTGATGGTTCTCCGTGAAATTTGGCCAGAACATATTTCACTGATACATTAGGAACAAAAGTGTGTCAGCAAATTCTTTTACTTTGAAAACTTTTCTCGTGGTGGCCTCTAACACAACATCTTATGGGAATTTTTCGATAATGGAATTTGATAGATCTGTAAAAAGATAAGCAATAAAATGAAAGAAAATGCTGACACTCTTTGAGAGATTGATTGTGATTAACACTGCAGAGTTATTTTGCATCAACAATCTTATTTGATACCCAATCAATGCGCCAGAATTTCAGTCGGTCCTTTTGGCGTTAACGGCTTCTGTCACCGTAGGAAAGCAATCAGCAAAACAGAATATAATGTTATTGAATTCTACATTTCATAACCTTTCCATTGATATATAGTTTGTGGAGGTTTCCTTGAAAACAGTGCACATACACATTTTTCTCTGGAGGGCACAAGCAAAGGTTTAGAGTAACCTTAAAAATCTAGCATTAAAGCTGTGACATCTTATATTTTGACTTCTAAAGCATATCAGTAGAAATGGAAGCTATATTTGCTGTTACCTACCCATCAGTCCACAAAACCGGTCAAATGTTCTTGGAATTCTAGTGTGAGGGTTTATCTCTATTAGAACGTTCCTTTCTGTGTGAATATACACTTGTAGAAGTCCTGCTTTATTCAGTGGACTGTCCAGTAACATCAGCAGACTCTAATAATACCAAGACCAAGTAGTGTAAACCAGATCAGGAATTACTGTAGATTAATACCTAGTGCTAATGGGAAGGTCTGTCCCTGTGATAGAATACATGTATTACATCTTATTACTCACTTCTACTTCAAAACCAGTGTAACAAGAGATATGTGGGATAGAGAAGAGAATTCCAAATTCAAAACAATTGGATCATGTGTACTTAAGGCATCTACAGTCAAGTGTTGATTGATACCCTTGATCAACCTCCAATCAACACTTGATCGATATCTTGAACAACACGTGATTGACATCTGGATCGATACTCACTCAGCCCTAGGTTGACACTCTATCAACATCTTGACAGAGTCCAGAGGCTTCACAAAGTTGAAATCTAAGTTCTCTATTGATGATGTGGAAACAAAAAAGGCCTTCTCATTAATAAGGTCCTGTATCTGTGAAACAGTTAAAATACTGAATGACATTTTGTTCACAAATTCCCACTTAGCTAAGATAGGTTTAATACAAAGCAATCTTTGCACTTTTTGCAATACTGATGTGGAAACAATTGATCATTTTTTCTTTACTGTGTTTACTCACGTGCATTTTGCAAAGAATTTGAATCTTATTGGTTTGCTACAGCCAAAAAACAAAGGAAACTTGAGTTAAGGATGGTGCCCACTTCATACAAAGGTTTTTGCACCAGGTAAGGACCACGTGGAAAAAGTAGATCTTTACAAGGGCTATTGGAATCCACANAAAAAAAAACATTTTTGATATGTTTTTAATGACAAAATCGTTGCAAAAGCGCTTTTAACGTGTCTGACAGCCTTCCTCTGGCTCAGCTAAAATACAGTCTAAATACCTTTTGCTCACAACCAGAAGCTAATCACGTGTTGAATAGACTTGTCACTTCCATTTCATAACATAAAATGTAGGGGTAACCACGCGTTTTTTAAAGTTATTGATCTTTTTTGAAAACTTTTATTGTGCCGTTACATTTTTTCCTGTCACCTCCCCAGTAAGTGAGACATTTGCGTATCTCGCACTTGTTTCGCGCACGCACTATGCCATCTGCAGGTACATGTTTACAGTTGGATTTCAGTATAATTTTTGATAAATAATAGCTAGGTTTTCAGGTGGAAGAGGTAAACAGTTCGTGGTTAGCGATATGCTGTCATTCTGGTGTTCCTGGTTTAAGTACAGGTTCATTAAACTTGATTTGGTCACAGTAGGAAAATTTTGCTTTCATTTTAGTCGTGTATGTGATAGCGTAGTTGATTGCGTCAATGTCAGCCCCAGCGTGCACATGGAGCTAAACCATGGCTTGCATGATGTGCAGAATGTGTGTGCAATAACAAAAGTAGACACTGTCCTTAAAGACTATTTTAGTTTGTGTCACAGATACTAAATGCTCTCTGTTTAACTACTTAATTGTTTTAGGTAAGCTACATTTATGGAACTGCTGTAGGAATAACAGTCTTCCTTTTTTCTCTACCTTTAAGGAATTAGTGAAAAGAAAATATGAAACTGAATGTCACATTGCTGCTAAGTACAATAATAGCAAGATGCTAGAGGCTAAGTGGAAACCCGTTCTGCATTGTAATTTGCTAGGTACATAGGTGTGTAAAAAAAAAAACAAAAAAACAAACTGTAAAACGTAGTGTAAGAATTGAAGGCGTGAGTGCAAAACCATGCTAAGTGACGATTTGGGTG